AATGGTTCTGTAATTATCTCAGAAATAGAGATTTGAACTAAACACAGAGTTATTACAAAGATGTATGTGTATTTTTGGGAAGTTCTGAGTCATTGGAGCCATGGAATTTTTTTCTCAAGTTGCTACACATACTTTCTTTTTATTGTTAAAAATGAATCAGAAGACCTCCTGTTCTGAGACTGATTGACAGGAAGGAACGACATGGACAGGAAATGGAAAATGGTCAAGGACTTGGAATTTCCCTGAAAGCCTAAATTATAAGGAGCCTTGGTAGTCAGAGTGGTTGAAGCACTTGACTGATAACCAGCAGGTAGGTCAGCAATTTGAAGCTACCAGCCACTCTGTAGGATACAGAGGTGACAGTATGATTCTGTAAAGATTTACAACCTCGGGAATCCTATGGGGCAGTTCTACTCTTTCCTATAGGGTGGCTGTGAGTTGGAATTGATTTGACATCATGGGTTTGGTTTTGGTTTGACTTAAGCTAAGGGGCTTGTTATCTGGAAGTTTTTGAAATGTTTACCATGTGGAGTTCCCCTTAAAGAAGAATGCATCCGATTTCACTGACAAATAGTACATAAAAATTGGTTTTATAGCAATAGCAACAAACACTGTATGTCACTGTACTAAAGCCATTACTGTTGTTGTTGTTGCTGTTGCTAAGGGCCATCAAGTCGGTTCCGTCTCAGCGACCCTGTACAAGGTTTCCCAGGAGCAGCTGGGGTATTTGAATATATAGGTTGTTAGTTGCTGCTGAGTTGATTCTGATTTATGACAATCCTATGTGGGGAGAGTAGAACTGCTTCAGAGGGTGTTCATGACTGTGACCTTTTGAAAGCAGATTGCCAGGACTGTCTTCCAAGGTATCTCTGGGTGTGTTTGAACTGCCAGCCTTTGAGTTTCTAGCCAAGCACCTAACCATCTGAGCCACCCAAGGACTACTCCCTACACATCAAATGTACATATCTGCATCTTTATAGTCATTCAAATATATATTTATAATGCATATATTTATGAACAGAGACCAAAGGACACACTTTGGGTGGTCTAAATGACTAACAATTGAAATGAACATGCTATGGAAACCTGGATTTTAATAGCAACACTACAGGACAGAATAGACTTTCCCTAGAGGGTTTACAGGCCTCCCAGTGTGGCGCTGTAGGATCAGCACTGGACTGTGTACCACAAGGTTGGTAGTTCAAACCTACCAGTTGTTCCTCAGAAACTCTTTACAGGGTTGCTTTGAGTCAGAAGCAACTCGATGGCACTTAACAACAGAGAATTGTCAAGGAGCTCTGGTAGAATAGCAGGTTACAGTTGGTATGTTAACCACAAGACTAGCAGTTTAAACTTACCAGCCACTCCAGAGGAGAAAGATGAGGCTTTCTGCTGCTGTAAAGATTCACAGCTTCGAAAACCCTGTACAGGGTTGCTATAAGTCAGAACCGATTCCATGACATATCACCACCACCAGTTTAGGACTTTAAAGGAGTCCTGGTGTGGTGCTATGAGATAAATACTGGAAGGCTAATCACAAGTACGGCGGTTCAAATCCACTGGTTACAGTAGTCAAAAAGAGCAGTTTGCTCCACCCAGGGGTTATACACATATACACATTCTCTCTTAATTTTATTTAAAATTTCAGAAAGTTCTAGGCGTGAAGCCTGCCCTGAAAGACTGTTCACGTTGCAAACAATGTCCATATGTATCCAGCACAAACAAGGAAATTCCCAAATTTAAAACAAATTTTAAAAGGTACACTGGTTGATTAACCAAAGTTAATTTTCTGATGCTGTTCTACTTGGCAATACTTTAAAACTTCGCATTTTTCAATTAACTGGGCTAGCTGCTGTCAGTTGTAATCCATGAAAATTAGAGTGATGTGTAGTTGCACTTTGAAAAAACGGTTACAAGTGTTTACTGAGTAGAAGCAAGAATGCCACTGGATGGACTCCACCCCAAAGAGTAGAGGCCTCACAGTAATGGAGCTTTGCCAGGGGTTGGACCATAACTCTGAGGAGACATGGGGGAAGCTGTGTAAAGCCATCGGCACAAGAGAGTTTCCGCAGGGTTTCCGACGATTCAAATGCATCCGCTCAGGGTTTGTTAAGAACTTAGATGGAAACATTACAAGTGCACTAACATCGAGATGAAAAAAACAAGATGCCCAGTAGATGTGGACAGTCGCGCCTCACCCGGAGGCTGACAGCACAGCTCCAGGTGGGCGCCCACGCCCAGCTTCCCTCCTACATTCCTCCAGAAGGCGTGCCTCCTGGGAGAGGAACCTGAGGAACCTGAGCTTCTTCCGCTCTCAGGTCACAGGCTCAGCTCCAAGCTCAGGCACAGGACGACAGCCTCCCCCCGCCACCCCGGGCGTGCTGACGTAACTGTACGTCTGCGTCAGCTCGGCTTCCTTACGAGGCTCCGGAGCCTAGGATGTGTGTCTGGCACCAGCTCAGTCACTGTGGTTGCTGCCTTTCCCCGCGGCTTGAGAAGGCCGTTGGCAGCCCTGCAGCCCCACGTACTGCCACGCTGCTTCCGTCTTTGCTGCGCGGGCACTGCGGTGAGTGCAGCTCCTTTCCGGCCCAGGCCGCCCGGGAGTGCGCGGGGCGAGTCTTGACGCTCGGATCCGTAGGGCCCAGTTCTCTGAAGCCACTGCCTGAAGAGGGAGGACTGCGTGAAGAGGGAGGACTGCGTGAAGAGGGAGGACTGGGTCTGGACCCCCTTGACCCAGGATCAAGGGTCACAGTGAGCATTGTGATCACACTGCGGCTTTTATTTAATTCGGAAGCTCTGATTTCAAGACTTGCAAATCGAAAGTGATATTTTAAAATGGTCTTTTCTTGTGTCTGGGTGCCGCCCACTTTTCCCAGCCTTTGGACTTTGACTTTTTTTTCTCTCTCTTAACTTGCCCTTTGATGTTCCTTTAACTTGGTGTGTTTAAACGAACACAGTTCTGTGGCAGTGAAATCTCAGATTTCAGGAAGTTCCAACTGTGTCCTGCCACTTTCAGTAATCTGTTGTGTACTGTGAAAATTAACACTGGGAAAGGAATGGGTAAATTCCCATCGATACCCCACTTTTCTCTTCCAGTCTGCACCCACCCACTGCCAACTAGAGTTTACATAAAGAGAGCAAAGTCAGCAGTACGGTGCTTGTAGATCAGAATTTGTAATTTAAACATACAAGACCCATGCAATTAAGGAAGGCTTACAAGAGGTCACATTCCCAACGCCTTTGTGTTATTATTATTATTATTATTATTATTATTTTTGAGTTGCTTTCCACGGTTGTTGCTTTGGAATTGTGAAGGAATTGTAGGGTTTAAGAGTTTATAGTAGAATGTTCCTGGTGCACTTTTCTTTTACTAGACGAGGCTCTTTGTCGAGTCCTGGGGATACTTGGCAGTAAAAAAATAACGGTTGTGTCTGATGACTGCTGGTGAGTAGAATAATGGTCCTTTCACACCCACTACAAGAGGTGAGGTCAAGGACAAAATATTTTTCTGCGTGGAAAGGTCCATCTGCCTGCCAGGTTGTACGTTTTTGTAACATATACAATTAATGCTAATGAAAGTATATTTCATTTATTTTAATTAAGAACTTTTCTAATCATAAAGTTTTAGTGACAAATTGCTGGAAAAAGATGTTTTGTCTGAAGTGTAAAACCTGTTTTAGACTTTATTGAATAAATGGAAGAGTCTGTGATTCTACTTGCCATGAAAATAAAAAGTTTCTAAAATAACTTTTCTTTTTCCTTTTCAGATTTTTACATCCTTGAAGAGTCTACCTTTTTTCCCCTCTGCAGTGAAACCCAGAAACTTCTAAAATGGATATAGTTTGAATTCTGTGGAGTATAATTTTGTGTGTGAATTACATATTTACAATACAAAGTGTTCAGAAAGTAGGATCAGTTATTGATACATTCTGCATACGCAGTAATTCTGCTGATAATATTGGTCATATTTTCTTAAGCATTTGTGATAACACTAGAAAAGACAAACTGTACTCTTGAATTAATTGTCATTAATTACAAAACAGATTCCCTAACCATGCATGGTTCTTAAATTAATGGAGCTTATTTAATTTTTAAATGCAATATAAAGTGTTTCTGCTGTGGAAATGTTCTGGTTAAATAGTTAAGTTTGAAAAAATACCTTGGATTGATTAAATGTATAAAGTGGTGTGCAGAATTAGTAAGAAAGACAACATAGTGATGCTGTAGGAAGTGGAAACATGAAGAGAAAATATTCTACAAAGATGTGAGAGTTAAGTTTGCGACCTTAAAATTTATTTCATTTGGGAACATACCATACCATAACAAACGTAGGTTCAGCAAAGCTTATGAGTGTTAACTTCCCCAAAAGTTGTTATTGAAGATAACAATCCACTTAAGGAATGCTGAGCTATTCCTTAACTATTTTTTAGATAATGTGACTCTATGAAAGCTTTAATAAGTTTGATGGAATAAAACAAAGGTTTTTGATGTCACATTAAAGTTCTTATAGGGAAAGAAGCCTGGTACCTATATTTCTTATCTCTTGTAGGCAGGCTACATAGCTTGTAATCAAAAGCAAATTAAGGACATCTCTGTAGTTGCTTAGCTTAAACATTTTGAAATATAAACCTTGAAAAATCAGGGGTTTTTAACATATTTTTAGAAGTGCATCAGCTTCTTTCAGACCACTAGGTTAGTATTACACTAAATTATGAGAAAGTAGTACTTGAATTATCTAAAAGATTTACTATAATTTAAAGAGTACTAAGTGGTATTGATAACCTAGGTAGTTCAGACATCATATAGGATGGCCTGAGTGTGCACCTAGGTATAGTTTAGTCAACAGGGAGTAGTGGGTTGTAGATACGGAGCAGGTTAACATTTGATTCCTTTTGTGGTTAAAAAAAATACAATTTAGTGTGAAGAGATGAGAAGTTTCATGTGAAGGCTTTCAGCGGTCAAAAGTAAAATTCCCTTCTTATCGTGTCTCAAGTCCCTCTCATCAAAAATTTATGAATATAATGGAAGATAGCAAGATCTTGTCAAATTGGACAAACAGCAACAAACAAAAAATGAAATACGACTTTTCATGTGAACTTTACAGAATGTCTACATATTCGACTTTCCCCACTGGTGTACCCGTCTCAGAAAGGAGTCTTGCTCGAGCTGGTTTTTATTACACGGGTGTGAACGACAAGGTCAAATGCTTCTGTTGTGGTCTGATGCTGGATAACTGGAAACATGGAGACAATGCTATCGAAAAGCATAAACAGCTGTATCCTAGCTGTAGCTTTGTTCAGAATCTAAGCTCAGATGCCAGTCTGGGATCCACCTCTAAGAACATTTCTCCATTGAGAAACAGTTTTACGTGTTCAGTATCTCCCACATTGGAACATAGTGGTTCTCACTCCAACCTTTCACCAAACCCTCTTAATTCCGGAGCAGTGGAAGACATCTCTTCATGGAGGACTAACCCCTACAGTTATGCTATGAATACTGAAGAAGCAAGGTTTCTTTCTTACAAGATGTGGCCATTAACCTTTTTGTCACCATCGGATTTGGCAAGAGCTGGCTTTTACTATATAGGACCTGGAGATAGGGTAGCCTGCTTTGCTTGTGGTGGAAAACTGAGTAACTGGGAACCAAAGGATGATGCTATGTCAGAACACAGGAGACATTTTCCCAACTGTCCATTTTTGGAAAATTCTCTAGAAACGCTAAGGTTTAGCATTTCAAACCTGAGCATGCAGACACATGCAGCTCGACTGAGAACATTTATTTACTGGCCACCTAGTGTTCCAGTTCAACCCGAGCAGCTTGCAAGTGCTGGTTTTTATTACGTGGGTAAGAAAGAAACAAATACGTCACTATACATTTATTTTGGTCTACATGCTGGAACATGTTATGTGTATTTAGTTTTGGTCTTCATTTTCTTTAGGTCGCAATGATGATGTCAAATGCTTTTGTTGTGATGGTGGCTTGAGGTGCTGGGAATCCGGAGATGACCCATGGGTAGAACATGCCAAGTGGTTTCCAAGGTAATTGTTTTGCTACATAAAACTGTATCTAAACGAGGGCATACTCAGATGATAGCAGTTTGCATTTAAATGATAACAAGGCCTCTTCTATGTCATTGGGGGAATTAGCCTTTAGAAGACCAAATTTTAATATTAATGATTTTATTGAGAGGAGTTGTGCTTTTGTCCCCCTTTCTGTAAGCTATATACACAGTATAATTTAACCTATTCTTGTTGATTCCTTTGTAATTTGGCCATAAATTTCATTTCTATTTTCCCATTTTGCCCTAATTAGCCTGGATGTGTAAGTGGTTTTCTGTTGGCTGCTAACCTATAGATTAGCAGCACCCCATGACTTCTTGGAAGAAAAGCCTGATGAACTGCTTCTGTAAAGATTACAACCAAGAAAACCTTAGTAAGCAGCTCTGCCCTATGACACGGGGGCTCGCCATGAGTCAGCAGCATCTCTATAGCAGTGGTTTGGTTTTGTTTTTGGTCATCTTGCTTAAAAGAGAAGTTCAAGATTACAAAGATAATGTAAACTAGAACAAAAAGAACATATATTAGAAAAAAGATATGAAGGGAAAAGGAAAACAAGAGAAGGGCTAAGTAATATTGATTTAGGGGCTACAGCCTTACCACTCTAAACAAGCCTGATCTTGTCTAAAATCTAGTCCTCTTTTAAAGTGTTTTGTTGTGTATACAGTTTGTAATTTATTTTGTGTGTGGAGTTTAAATTTTTATGTGAAATGTCACTTACCACCTTTTAACAATGCAGTCTCTAGTGGTGCCGTCTATTTTGTTCTATAAACTGGGAATGATTTAAATGTGTGTTGCCAGTGGAAGTCAAATAAGAAATTTCATCTTTGTTGCTAAGTAGTTTATGAACTCAGACAAGTCATGTGACTCCTTGGAGGCTCTTATCTGTAAGTTAGAGGTTGGACTAGAAATGTTTTATTAAGAATTTTATAAGAACTCTCTTTATTAAGAGCTCTCAAAACACTCGGAAATGACTCCACGGTACTTACCAATATACTAAATACCCGAACTCAATACTCTGAACCCACTTCCATCGAGTTGATTTTTGACTTATGACAACCCTGTATGTTTCCAAGACAATGCATTTTTATGGGAGCATACAGCCTCATCTTTCTCTCATGGAGCAGTTGGTGGACAAGGACTGTAAAGCTTGTGGTTAGCATTCCTGTACTTACCCTACAATGCCACTGTGAGTACAAGTCTTTTATTAGCTATGTTTTGCAATCTTTCTCCCAGTTTGTAGCTTTCCATTTTCATTTTCTTAAGTGTCGTTTGAAAAGAAGTTTTTAACTTAGGTTATGCCAGTTCATCAGTTTTGTCTTTTATGAATTGTGCTTTTGGTGTCTTATCTAAGATACGTTAGCACAAAAAAAAAAAAAAAATCTCCTGTTTTCTTTTAGAAATATGTTTCACATTCAGGTATATGATCCATATGTAGATTATTTTTGTATATGTTATCAATGTAGGCTGAGGCCAGCTGTTTATACATATAAATATTCAGTCATCTAGCGACATGGGAACACTGAATGGTTTAAAATTAAGAAAGGTGTGCGACAGGGCTGTATTCTTTCACCATACTTATTCAACCTGTAGGCAGAGCAAATAATCCAAGAAGCTGGGTTATATGAAGAAAAACATGGCATTAGCATTGGAGAAGACTCATTAACAACTTGTGATTTGCAGATGATACAACCTTGCTTGCTGAAAGTGAAGAGGACTTAAAATACTTACTGTTGAAGGTCAAAGACCACAGCCTTTGGTATAGATTGCATCTCAATGTAAAGAAACCAAAAATCCTCGCCCCGGACATAAAAAAACAACATTCTTATCAATGGAGAAAAGATTGAAGTTGTCAAGGACTTCATTCTTCTTGGAGCAACTATCTTGGAAGCAGCAGTCAGGAAATCAAACGACATATTGTATTAGGTAAATCAGCCACACAAGACCTTTTTAAAGTGTTGAAAAGCAAAAATGTCAGCTTGAGCACTAAGGTGCGCCTGACCCAAGCCATGGTATGTTCAATAACCTCATATGCATATGAAATCTGGACAGTGAATAAGGAAGACCATAGAAGAACTGATGCTTTTGAGTTATGGTGTTGGAGGAGAATATTGAAAGTGCCATGGGCTGCCAAAAGAACCAACAGATCTGTGTTGGAAGAAGTGCAGCCCGAGTGCTCCTTGGGGACTAGGATGGCCAAACTTTGTCTTTCATACTTCAGACATATTGTCAGGAGGGACCAGTCCCTAGAGAAGGGATATCATGTTTGATAGGGTGGAGGGTAAGAGAAAAAGAGGAAAACCCCCAGTGAGATGGATTGGCAAAGTGGCAGCATCAGTGGCCTCAAGCGTGGCAACAATTATGAGGTTGGCCCAGGACCAGGCAGTGTTTTGTTCTATTGTGCATAGGGTCACTATGAGTCAGTACCAACTCAATGACACCTAACAACAATAACAAAGCACCAGTTTTGAGAAACAAAAATAGTGGAATGGAAACATGCTTTGTGAACTTTGACAAACTCTTGTAGTGTGAAAACAACTATTGGGAACTGTCATATTATGTATAGAGTAACACTGGAGAAAATTAATACACTGTAAAAATTGGGATACTGAGTTACAGCTTTAGAAACTCTGTTTCTTGTTAGGTCCTACTGAGTTGGTACTGACTCATTGTGGCCCTATGCACAACAAAGTGAAACACTGCCTGGTCTGGGACCAGCGTGGCAATCGCTGCTATGCCTGAGCCCGTTGCTGCTACCACTATGCCAGTCCCTCTCATTGGAGGTCTTCCTCTTTTTTTTGAACCCTCCACATTTCCAAACATGATATCCTTCAGTTGTCCCTCCTAATAATAGGTGTGAAGTATGAGAGACAAAGTGTGGCCAGGCTGGCTTTCAAGGAGCACTCTGACTATGCTTGTTCCAACACAGATGTATTTGTTCTCTGACAGTCCGTGGTACTTTCAATATTCTCCTCCAACACCATAGCTCAAATGCAGCATTTCTTTTATGGTCTTCCTTAGCCACTGTCCCAATTTTCACATGTATGTGAGGTTATTGAAAATACCATGGCTTGGGTAAGGTACACCTTAGTCCTCAAACTGACATCTTTGCTCTTCAACACTTTAAAGAGGTCTTGTGCAGCAGATTTGCAATATATCATTTGATTTCTTGACTGCTGCTTCCATGAGTGTTGATGGTTGAGCTGAGCAAAATGAAGTCTTTGACAACGTCAATCTTTTCTCCATTTATATGGATGTTATTTATTAGTCTTATGATTAGCATTTTTGTTTTCTTTACATTGAGATGCAACCCATACTGAAGGCTCTGGTCTTTGATCTTCATTAGTATTTTAAGTCCTCAAGCAAGGTTGTATATCATCTGCATATCGCAGGTTGTTAATGAGTCTTCCTGATGCCATGTTTTTTCTTCATATAATCCAGCTTCTTGAACTATTTACATAGCATACAGATTGAATAAGTATGGTGAAAGAATACAACCCTGGCACACACCTTTCCTAATTTTAAGCCATTCGGTGTTCCCTTGTTCTGTTAGAACAGCTGCCTGTTGGTCTATGTACAGGTTCCTCTTGAGCACAATTATTTTGGAATAGTCATTCTTCACAAGGTGAAATTTTGTAGCATGTCATGAGTCACGCAAATATTGAAAGCCTTTGCATAGCCAATAAAGCACAAGTAAACATCTTTCTGGAGTCCTGATGTGGGACTGTGGGTTAATGCGCTGGACTGCGAGGTTGGTTTGAACTACAAGATTGGTGATTCAAGCTCACCAGCCGCTCTTCAGAAACCCTATATATGGTCGCTATTAAGTCAGAACTGACTTGATGGCACTTAACAACAACAGACATCTTTCTGGCATTCTTTGCTTTCATCCAAGACCCATCTCAGGTCAGCAATGATATCCCTTGTTGTGTGTCCTCTTCTGAATCTGGTTTGAACTTCTGGAAGTTCTCTGTCACTGTGTAGTTTAAGCTGTTTTTATATTATCTTTTAGTAAAATTCTACTGGCGTGGGATATTAATGATATTGTCCGAGGATTTCCGCATTCTGTTGGGTCACCTCTCTTTGGAATGGACATAGATATGGATCTCTTCCAGTCAGTTGGCCAGGTAGTTGTCTTCCAGATTTCCAGACTCATCTTTGGATGAGTAAGTGCTTCTAGTGCCACATCAGTTGAAAGATTTCAATTTGTATTTCTTATATTCCTGGTGCCTTGTTCTTTGCCAATGTCTTCAATGCATCTTGGACTTCTTCCTTCATGATCATTGGTTCTTGATAGTATGGTAGGTCTTAAAATGTGTGAATATTGACCATTTCTTTTTGGAACAGTGACTGTGTATTCTTTCCATCTTCTTTTGATGCTTTCTGCATCATTCAATATTTTGCCCATAGATTGATTCTTTAAATACTGCAGATCGAGGCTTGAATTTCCAGTGCCCACAGCTTGAGAAGTGCTGAGTGTGTTCTTCCATTTTGGTTTTCTAATTCCATGTCTTTGCACATTTCATTATAATATTTGACTTTGTCTTCTTGAGCTGACCTTTGAAATTTTCTGTTGAGCTCCTTTACCTCTTAATTTCTTCCATTTGCATTAGCATTTCTACACTGGAGAAGTTTCAGCGTCTCTTCTGACAAACATTTTTATCTTTTCCTTCTTTCTTCTTAATGACTTTCTGCTTTCTTTGTTATGATGATCTTGATGTCATCCCACAATACTTCAGGTCTTTAGAGTCTAATGCGTCAAAGTTTTTCTTCAGATGATCTATAAATCCAGGTGGAATATATTCAAGGTCATATTTTGGGTCTTATGGACTTGTTTTAATTTTCTTCAGCTTCATTCTGAATTTGCATATGAGCCATTGATGGTCTGTTCCATAGTCTGCCCCTGGCCTTATTTTGGCTGATGATATTGAAGTTTTCTATCGTATTTTCCATATATGTAGTCAATTTGATTTCTTTGTATTCCGTATGGTGAGGCCTGTGTGTATAGTTGTCTTGTATGTTGTTTAAAAAAAGTGTTTTCAATGAATAAGTCATATGTCTTGCAAAATTCTATCATGTGACCTCCAGCATTGTTTCTATCACCAAGGCCATATTTATTTTCCAACAATTAATCCTTTCTCTTTGTTTCCAACCTTTGTATTCCAATCACCAGTAATTGTCAATGTGTCTTTATTGTATGCCTGATTAATTTCAGACTGTGGAAGTTGGTAGAATTCTTTAGTTTCATCATAACTGACTTTAGTTGGTAGAATTCTTTAATTGTATCTTAACTGACTTTAGTGGTTGGTGTGTAAATTTGAGGATTAACTGGTCTTCCTTGTAGGCATATGGATATTATACTATCACAGACAGTGTTGTACTTCAGTATAGATCTTAATATGTTCCTTTTAATGATGAATGTGATGCTGTCCGTCTTCAATTTGTCATTCCCAGCATAGGAAACAATGTGATGGTCTGATTCAAAATGGCCAATACCAGTCCATTTAAGCTCACTAATGCCTAGGATATTGATGTTTATGTGGTCCATTTCTTTTTTTACAATTTCCAGTTTTCCTAGATTAATACTTCATACATTTCATGTTCCGATTATTAATGGAGTTTTACAGCTGTTTCTCTTCTTTTGAATTATGCCGCATCAGAAAATGAATGTCCCAAAGGCTTTACTCCATTCATTTCTTCACGGTCAACTCAACTTTGAGGAGGCAGATCTTTCACAGTCGCATTTTGAGTACCTTCCGATCTGAGGGACTGATCATTTGGCACTATATCTGACAACATTCTGGTGCTGACAGTGTTCCACTGCTCTTCATAAGGTTTTCAATGACTTAACTATTTGGAATATTTAAATATCTGGAATATTTGGAATATTTAAATTCTTAAATATTGTCTCCTTCTTCTTAATCATTCTTCATCTGGAAGCTCAGCTGAAATCTGTCTGTTGTGGGTGACCCTTTTGATATTTAAAATACTTATGGCATAGCTTTTAGAATCACAGCAACTTGCAAACCATCACAGTATGACAAACTGACTGACAAGTGGTGGGAAATTGTTTGTGTGATAAAAAGTGATTTGTCTAGAGTAGTGTTTTTCATGCCTCTGTGACCTGTTGTGTGCCCAGACCCTTTTGTTGTGTTAATGAAATTGAGCAGATAAAATCAGAGTATATCTTTTTTTTAGATCAGTAACAGCTATTTATTTTGATAAGTCTGGGGGTTGACAAGGTTCCAGTGAAATAATTCTTGCACATGATTTATCATGGAGTTTAAATCAGACAGGGCTGGAGACAACTCCAAAGCTTTTTTTTTTTTTTTTTTAAAGTTTTTATTGTGAATTGAGTGAACGTTTACAGGGCACTTCATCAGTTTTACATTCAACAAATCATGCACTATATTACAATGATTATAATCCCGTCTATGTACCATCAGTTAACAGTATTTCTATTCACTTTAGCTCTTTTTTTTTTTTAAAAACTCAGGCATACATAATAATTTACACCACCAAAGGACACATTCTGCAAACCTGCCTCCCGGCTGCCAGTTCTCAGTTCCTCTCTTCCATGAATCTGGAGTCCTCAGCTGCTCCTTCTTTCCATGTCTCCCATCTCTGTCTCCATCTCTGGTGTTGCTGCTTCTGGATAGGGTCCTGCATTCCTCATGTGCTCTTCTCCCTTGATGGTCCTAGGGTTCTCTGTTTCTGGACTGTAAGATTAACTCCTCCCCTGTTTTTGTTACAAAACTTTTACCTTTACAGTTGTGACAGTTGCAATTAATCATGATAACAATTACTTGCTATTGAATCATAAGAATCTTATCCCCATCTCTTTTCACCAGACCCATCTAGACAAGATGAAAACTATCCAGTGGGAACTCTTATCTTCCCCCTGCACACTCTTACACTAAACTCCCTCATGTAAACCTGTAAGCCAGTCACTTCGTGCCTTTATCGTCCTCTCATTTTAGGTAGCCGGTGTCTTGAGTTGCCTGTCCCTATCTACCCTGTATACAGAAGGGATAGCATTGATACTTGATGCGAAGACTTCCTCCTTCCCTTTCAGTTGGTATTTTGAGCTACTATATCCATGAGTATAGGTCAAGTTCCAGAGCACAGCTTAAATAGGAAAAGTTTATATTGTTTTATGAGAATTGTGGTAATATTAGAAATATGTGTGCTGGGTTGTATAAAGTGATTATTTTCTGTGCAGTATAATAAAAAATGTTTCAAAATCATTTCTTAGAATTATCAGGTTATATTTTAGATAAACCAATAAAAATAATCTTCCTCTTATGTTTTAGATGTGAGTTCTTAATGCGTATGAAGGGGCAGGAGTTTGTTGATGAGATTCAAGCTAGATATCCTCATCTTCTTGAACAGGTAAATCAATTGTTGTAATTGGCAGCAACAGTCAATTCTTCTGAATAACAATTACCAAGAAAATTTATGAAAAGTGATATTTAAATCTGTTTTCTTATTAATTAAATTATTTTGTGTCCCTATGAAGGATTTCCTCAGTTTTAACTTTTGTAAGCAAGTTTTTTTGTGTGTGCTCAAAAAATTATTCTTTGTTTGTAGAAAGTAATATTACTAAACCTGCCACTTTTCAAACTAGTAGTAGGGTTGCAGAAAGATCTTTAGTGTCTCCATCTTTTTTAGGAAAAACAAACAAAAAAATAACTCATTTGTAATTAGAAACCTCTGAGAGAAACCAAGTTGAAATCTGACTATAAAGTTGAAAATCCTTTTCCTACTTTCCTGGAACTGCAGAAAATCTTGAATTCTAATTTTAAAATAGGTGAAGTTTGGGAAAATGTACAGGATGTTTAGCTCTGGGAGTGCTATGGGTTTGGCAGTTTAATCCGCCGTCTGCTCCTTGGGTGAAAGATGAGACTGTCTCTTCCCATAGAGATTACAGCCTGGGAAGTCCTATAGAAGTCTTTACAAGTCGGAATTGACTCAGTGGCAGTTGGTTTGGTTTTTGATTTGCATAAGATGACTAGGCTAAAACAAAGCAATGTGAAGTTTGTAAATTACCCTGCTTTCAAAATATGTACATTCAATCAAGGCTGTCTTACCTTAGTGTTACTCTACTTAGGTTGTTTATAATTTCTGATTTTCTCTTTTAACTTATATCCTGTTTCATAGCTGCTGTCAACATCAGACCCGCCTGGAGATGAAAATGTTGATATACCAAGTATGTATGAAAATATTTCAGATATCAGATATGAATTTTTATAAGAATGTTAAAATAAAGTGTTTCTGAGGCCATAGGAAAAAGTGTTCAGAAGTTATAACAATAAGATTATGTATCCACTGATATCAGATATGAATTTTTATAAGAATGTTAAAATGAAGTGTTTCTGAGGCCATAGGAAAAAGTGTTCAGAAGTTATAACAATAAGATTATGTATTCACTGGGGATCCCTGATAGCATTGTGTTTAAGCACTTGACTGCTAACTGAAAAGTCAATGGTTCAAACCCACCAATCACTTTTTGCATGAAAGATGCAATAGTCTGTTTGTAAAGTTTATAGCTTTGGAAACCCTCTACAGGGTTGCTAAGAATAGGAACTGACTCGATAGCACTTTATAACAACATCGGGTCACTCTAAGTTGGATTCAACCTGACAACATCAAACAACAACAATAAGATGTGTCCACTAAGAGTCATGTATTTTAGAAGATTCTAGGAAGTGTAAGTGGAGCCCTGGTGGCGCAGTGATGAAAAACTCAGCTGTCACCAAAAGTTCAGTGGTTTGATCCCAATGGCAGTCAGTTTTCATAAAGATTTATAGCCTCGGAAACCCTATGAGGCAGTTCTATTCTGTCCTAAAGAGTTCTTATGAGTTGGAATAAACATTGTGGCAACAGGTTCATTTAACAGTGGAAGTATAATAGTCTTTGTTCTTCAGGTGTGATTATTTTAACTAGGGCGATAAAACACATGCAAAAGAAAAAAAAACAACCAGTAAGCAATGCCAAGTGGGTGGTGATGAAATAATAAGCCCTCTAAAGAGGTTATTGTGAGCTAGCATGATTTGGGAAAGTTCTCATTCACATATGATTTCAGAATTGGACTAGATGTTAGGTATTTAAGTCAAATGTATAGTACAGGAGTCCTGGTGAGGCACTGTGGGTTAATGTGCTGGACTACAAGCTTAGTTTGAACTGCAGAGTAGGCAGTTCAAGGTCACCAGCTGCTCCTTGGAAACCCTATTCAGGGTTGCTAAGAGTTGGAACTGACTCGATGGCACTTAACCACTGCAACATTAGAGTATTTAGTGGAACCTGGAGTGGCAAAGCAGTTGCAGTCAGCTGCTAACCTAAAGGTTAAACCTGGCCAGCTGCTTTGAGGAAGAAAGGCCTGATGAATGTGTAAAGATCACAACCAAGAAAAGCCTACAGGGCAGTGATTATGCCTGTGGTTGCCGCAGATTGGGGGCCGACCTCATGACAGCTAACAACAACATAAGGGCTTTTATTTCAAGAGTGTAAAAGAGTTTCTCATCTGGTCAGAACTTAAATTTTATTCACATGTGTCATTTATGTATGTGAATAATGTATGTATGTTAATGGTGTCCAAAATAGTGACAGCTATAGTGCATTAATCATATCTAGAATGGTGTTCTAGTCTTGGTATAACAAATCTAGAGGGATAGTGGTAAATTGGTAGCTGGACCAGAAATGGGTGACCAGCATGTGTAAGATCTAGAAATCATGGCTAAGGAGAAACAGTTGAAGAATTTGATACTGTTTGACCTGGAAAAGGAAAGGATTTCTTGGGTACATGACTACTATCTCCTGTGTAATAAAGCTGGAAAAGCAAGGCAACTGTGCTGACTGTTCTTACTGCAACTTTATAATCACAGTTCTCAAATGGGCACTTTGTTGTTATTGCTGTTAAGTGCTGTCAAGTCAATGCTTGACTCCGTGTAGGGTTTCTGGGAGCGACTGGTTTGAACTGCCTACCTTGTGGTTCAAACCAACCTTGTGGTCCAGTGCTTTATCCCACAGCATCACACTAGGGCTCCACTTTGTACTGCCCTGCAAGTCAAATGCAATCCTCGAATAAAATCACCTTGTCAGTCTTCAAAATGATTCTCTCACATTTTCTTTGTCCTTAAGATTAATCTATGCCTTGTTCTTTGCTCATAACCTTACTTAACTGAGAAAATAAAAGCAATGAAATGAGAATTATTTTGTCTTCTTATCATCAGAATCACTAGTCTACCTGGTATATACATATACTTTGCTTTCTCTTGTGTAAAATATCCTTACCCCTATCTCAGGCCAACCCTTCTCCTTGTTCTCTGGGGCTTATCTTTTATTCCCACCTGTGCTTTGACGATGAATCCTTTCTTGCATCACTGATTTTCTGTCTCCTGGATCCTTCCTTTTATCATACAAACGTATTGTAATTTTGCTGGTATGAAGTAGACCTTTTCTTGAACCTGTGTCACCATCTAGCTCTGTTTCTCTTTACAACAAAATGCCTAGATTTATCTATCTTTATTTATCTATTTATCTCTCCTTACTTATTCACCTTCCATTTTTTACCTTGTTCTTTAAAAAAAAAAAAATCCTGATCTTGTCAGGGTTGCCAGGAACCTTTACCTTAGCAAAACCAGTGATCAATTCTGTGTCTTTATCTTTGTTAGTAGCATTTGACACTACTGAATGCTTCCTGGTGCACGCTGATTTTCAGAGATGAACTTGGCTGGTCCTGAATTATCTTTTTTGTTTGCTCTTTTGTTTTCAAACCTTTAAATGTAGTTCTTGGCTACTTGGTCAGAGTTAACATGACCAAAGCAAAAATTTCTCCATCCTCCTCCCTCAGATTTCCTACTTCTCTAATCTTTCCTGTACTAGTTAATGGTATCTTTGCTGAGGTTAAAAAGTTAGTTGAAGTTACACATCATCTCTGATTACTCTCCTTTACTTTGTATATCTAATCCCTTAGAGATTCTTCCATGTCTACAAACAAATATGACTACTTCTTATCATCTCTACCACTATCACTCTAATCCCAACTACCATCATCTTCTGTCATAACTTCTCAATGTGTTTCTCTGACTTCTGTTTTACTAAGTAAACTGTCAGTCCTGGTGTGATGCTGTAGGATAAGCACTGGACTGCTAACTGCACGGTTGGCAGTTCAAGCTCCTTGGAAACCCTACAAAGGGTCACTGATTCAGAATCAACTCAAAGGCACTTAGCAAACAACAGTCAATCTCCATAGACTTTTCAGTTCCCTGCTTAAAACCCTCCTAGAACATTCTAGCAAACTTAGAATTAAATATAATTTAAAAGGCTCTACGTGATCTAGGCATTGCCTACTTTGAGCTCTTGTACCATCTTAATTCTGAATACTCTGGCTATATGATCTTTTTCTTTCTTGAACATGACAGTCTTTTGCCTTGATTTAAGACCTTTATATTTGTTCTCTTTGTCTAAAAGACTTTCTTGAGATATCTCCATAGCTCACTCCTTTTTGTTCCAGTTGTTATTCTGGTGCTATTCAGACGATTCCATATTTGGTTGAGCCAACCAAAACCAAACCTATAGGGTTTCCAAGGCTGTGAAACTTTATGAAATCAGATTGCCAACAGTTTTCCCCTGGGGAGCAGCTAATTTGAACTGGTGAGTGCTTAATTACTGTACCACCAGGGCTCCTTTTTATAATGGAGCCAGCGAGTTTAATAGATACTGTAGACATTGTATATGTTTTCCAGTAGATGGCAGCAAACTGTCTAGAAGAATGCCATCTTGTTTCTTGGTCACCTTATCTGAAATGCTTTCCTACTGTCTAGTTTCTTCAAAGCATGTTACACTGCTTTGAAGAATTTCTCACTATCTAAAATATTACTGTTTGCTTCTGTAACCATAATTTTCTTTAACCTCTTTAATCATGCTTTATGCAAACTAGTCTTCCATTTTATTATACTTCTCATCCTTTTTCATGTTATTGTCTGTCTCATCTGTCTACATGCCTGGATCCTGGTAAGGCATTTAAACTCTAATGTTCCCTTTTTCGTGAAATCTTTGAGTCTTTCCCCTCCTGGTTCTGACTGAATAAGATCACTTCTCTCTTATAAATTTGTGTAGCTATCAGTTTCACAAAATGACTGTACGTGAGAATTATTTGGAAAATTTTTAAAAGGTATAGATTGCTACACGCCATGCCCAGATGTCTGTCTTTAAGAAAGTCTAGGGTACAGCCTGGTGGGAAGTGGTATTTTATATAAGTACAGCACACTGGTTATACTCTGATTTGATACACCTATAAGTTCAAACTTTTATTGGAACTTTAGATAATTGGTACATATAGCTCATCTGTCTTAATCAAAATTAAGGCAACGTGAGAGTAATGATTGTCTCATAGTCATTTTTCTCTCCATAGTTTCTTATTTGTAGGATTTAATATTATCACATGACTTTTTCCCAATAGTTCACTTTGGACCTGGAGAAAACCATTCAGAAGATGCTGTCATGATGAATACACCCGTGGTTACAGCGGCCTTGGAAATGGGTTTCAGTCGAAGCCTGGTAAAACAGACAGTTCAGAGTAAAATCCTAACCTCTGGGGAGAATTACAAAACAGTTAATGATATTGTGTCAGCACTCCTTAGTGCCGAAGATGAAAAAAGAGAAGAGGAGAAGGAAAGACAAATGGAAGAAATGGGCTCAGGTATTTGGGGATGTTGGTCACCTGGGTTTTTTCTCAGTAGGGCTCATTGGACTGTCTCCTATATTGCAGGGTAGTTAGCATCCTTGCCCCTTATGCCCACTAACTGCTAGGAGCAGCTCCTCAGTCATTTCCAAACCATTCCACCCCTTCTCACCATGGAGGGTGGGGTGCTACTTCAATTGTGAACCTTCAACTATAGTTTTTTCTTTAAGTTTTATAAGATTCCCTGACTTTTTTGAGCTATATTAATTTTTTCCTGATACATAGCACATTTAAATTGTTTTTGAAAAAGCAAATTATTACAGTTGATATAGTTCTTATTTCTGCTCTTTTTTTGTTTTTTTAAATAGTTTTTAAATAATACGATGTTTCACTCTGTAAACCGTGCTAGGTGAACCTTACATAAAAACAAAAAACAGAAAAAAAACAACTGATGATGAGAATCTCCTCTTGAACCAAAGGGTAGTAGGAAAGTCAGTTTGATACTCATCGAGATCATGTTAAGTCTCAGTCTCCTCAGAACAAGTCTTTTGAATAATCATTTATTCCTTCAGCAAGTATTTATTGAGCATGAGCGCCTATGTCAAATTCTGTGCTAATCATGGTGATTACTCACAAGGAGTTTATAGAGTAGATGTGGAGTGTAGTGTACAAAAGTCAGAGTAAATGAGTCAATAGTGAGGTAAAGATTGCATGTTGTTGTTAACTGCTGTTGAGTTGGTTCTAACCCATAGAGACTACATAAAGGGTTTCTAAGGAGTGGCTGGTGAGCTTGAATCACCAACCTTGTGATTCAAACTAACTTTGCAATCCAGTGCTTTAATCCACAGTGCCACATTGGGTATTTGGATTGGAACTTTTTTTTTTTTTTTTTCATTTTAGTAAGCAAAAATAGCTGTAATTTAAGAGACCCTTAGTGTGTGGCTGTTTTGTAAAGTGTTTAAAAGTCAGACATCTAGATTGAGATGCACTGTATTGAATTCTTGGCTATGGCAGTTGTTGTTGTTAAGTGCCGTTGAGTCAGTACTGACTCATAGTGACCCTTATAGGGTTTCTGAGGATGGCTGGTGGGTTTCAACCACCAACCTTGTGGTTCAAGACTGGCCTTGCCATCCATTGCTGATTCGACAGCACCATACCAGGACTCCATGTCAGTTATTAGCTTGGCAATTTAACTAGGCCTCAGCTTTCTCAGCTGTAGAATTTGGATAGTAATAGTACCAAGTCCCCTGGGGTTGCTATAGGAATTCAATCGGATTTTACAAATAAAACATTTTAGAACAATATGTAGCACATCAAAACAATTTTTGTTTGTCTCTAGATTTATTTTGGAAGTGGGAGAGACCTGGTGAAAGAAAGGGCCTGAGAAGAGTGAAAATACTTAGGATGGCTAAGCAGTACAGAGACTCAACTTAGGTTAAATGAAAACCACTGTAATAAATTCTTAGTTCTGAACATCCTAGATTTTCTCCCACTTTGTTGGGATCAGAGAAGATTCTTGAATTACGGATTTGACAAGGCTTCTAAGGGAAAAAGCCGAGTAAGGTATAGGAAGGAAAAGTTTACAGTGCTAGTAAGAGAGCATTAAATGGCGACTGACAGCTAGACTAGAATGGGAGGTAATCAAAGCCAGAGACAACTGTTGTGCTAATCTAATGGGGATGATGTGGAGATTTAAAAAAAGGTGAAGAACAAATTAGTTAGCATTAAGGTGAATTATTAGGGTGGAAGGGAATTTGTGGTCAGAGAGGGAATTTCATAGTTTTGAGATGAATAGAGAATTCATTTTAGAAAAACATAAAAGACGGAAGATAGACTTCTCTTTTTATAATTTGTTTGTCATTAAGCAAATGAAGTTTGTACCTTATAGAGATGTACTTTTTTGGAGGTGCTGAAAACAGGCCATTAAATATGGTGATTAGGAAACTGAAAGAAGTTGTTGTGTAAAATATACCCCAGAAATTCCTGCTAAAATTTCATGAATGTAGGAAATTAACTTTTTGACAATGAGGGAACAAAACAATGACTTTTAGAAAAAAA